GAAAAAAGATCCGTAGAAGAGACTAAAGTTAATTTTATAGCAATCCAATTTTATGAGATCCTAAAAGGATCAAGGAGAAAGCAATCATACGTCGCAAATTTGTTTACTTGTACACCTAAGCAGCGTCTATTTGCTTTCCATCAAAACATACATGAACCCTGCCGAGGTTCATAAAGCATTACTCCGCCCTGGAATTGGCTTTACCAACTGAGGTGATAATGTGAATTAGCCACCAAAAATAGTTTTCTATGCTCTATTCATAAATTACCTACGGATAAGGCCTACATGGGCTCTCGGTCACCCGATTTGATCTCGAAATTTGATCTCGTCTTAGGACAAATGAAAACTGGTTGGAGGACATTATGGTTTATCACAACGATATGCGCCCGCGATAACGATGGTAAAGATGACGAGGAAGACGTTGATAAGACTGTGTACCTACGCTACAGGTAGACCCAGTCCATCCCGAAGAACATCGGCACTGGTTGGGTGCGACGCAAGACCCGTGATTGGAATTACAACCTTGAGAGCAGATCGCTAAAAAGATATAAAAAGAAAATTTAATTGAATAAATTTTGATGTGACATTACCACGAACTAGTTTGGAGGTCCATGAGGCGAATAAGCAAAATCTGTGATGTAATGTACCTTTCGTGCATTCTCTTGAGCTTGAATGACTTTTCCTCCATCCACCGCAGCAGTAAATTATTTTCACGTTGACATTTCTGGTTCTTTGGACACCGTAGTACACTATTTTGGGTCTGGAAGATGACCACATATCCAGCGAATTTCAAGAAAGAAATTACTCAGCTTATAATGAAATTGGCTGGATAATTGTATTTGAATGATGAATGAAAATGAGTAATACGTAAACAAATGGACTTAAAGGAGTAGAATTGATACCAATCTCAACTGGCGAGAGGCAAACCGGTTAGATGGAAAAAGGACAAGTGGAACTATTAAGTTGTAGATAAGTGCCTAAGTTAATCTTGTTCCCAGGTCATACCGTGTTTAATAAAATGTAGGGACCTCACCACCACTTGGCCGCGGAAGGTCTGGGTAAGGGACTATGGCTAGCTCGCTAAAAAAAATTTTAAATGGCAGTCTGCAGTCAAATTCTCGAAAGGTAAGGTTACCATCTGGCATCCCAAAACGCACTTGTACTCATCATTTGATATTTCCTTTTTGGCTCAGATAAAAGCTGCTTAATGTTAGGAGCATGTTTTTTTTTAATATATTTACTGACCTTGTTGAGTCACATCTGAACCAACCAAACCATCCACAACTGGTTGTTGTGTGTGTGTATGTTTTCCTTGATGTAACAGTGTAGTAAGCCTCAGTCTGCACTTTATACTTGTAACAAACGTTTTGCCTGCGAGACACAACAAGACAGTCACAAGTTTGCGCAAGTGCGAGCGCTGAAATTGCATAAGGGTGGTAATGCCTATCATATAATTAAAAGAAACCTAAGAGTTAAAGCGGCTAACTGAATTTGATTCATGTGTCCATTACCACTGTTTCGGAAGACACATTAAAGACATCTTATTCAGAAACAACAAATTCTGCCACGATCTAGTGGTAAATCATAGAAACCAATTCGATTTCCCTCAGGGCGAAATCAGGTGTGACTGAATAACTCAAACGCGCACACGGGTGAGCAGAAAGTCAACACAGACGCAAAAGCAGGCGCTGTGTTTGATTGGCTCGGATATTTCTTGTAGTGCCGTAAGAGACGTTGTGTTAGTGGGATTGTTGGCGATAGTTTCTGAATGGACGCTCGCCATATATTGAACTTCAGCTCGAGTAACGATCCTTATCCTGAGTGCGTTTTATCAAAATAAATTAATGGGACGGTATTGTTATGTCCAGACTATCACATGCCTGAGTTGACATGTAAGACAGACAGAAGTAAAAAACGGTTAATTTTTTATGTTCACGACCATTCATCTTGGAACCTGGATCGGGAAGGTTGTTACGTCATCCCGGAACCACGCTACAAGGCTGAAATGAAATGCTTAAAGACGCGTTCCCAAATACGTTTGGGAATTTCCCGTTCTTTAAACATTGAGGAACTTCCATAAAGTTCCTAAAGAAAGCCATGTCATCTGGAGACACAAACTCGGACAGTGACTTTATGAATCCGAAGCATCCGCAGCTATCGGACTATGACGTGGAGAGGGAGGAAATCGATTGTGTGCCGAAAGCGAAACTTCGATAAAATGAAGTCAAGAAACCCCTTACACTACGGAGAAAGAACTCTATCGGACTCTTACAAGCTCACCTCGAGAAGGGAAAATGCCCAAAAAGCGTACGATACAACGTAAGGGCGAACATTGCGATCATTTTGGTGTCTCCTTGTAGACTACTTTAATCAGATAATACGCCGCTATCTAATTACCGCAAATCAGCTAAGGAATCGAAAGCTAGACTAATCGATGTCGACGCGCTTTTTGAAAATTTGAGAGCACAAACTAGCAATAGAGAAGTACAAAGAAATTGAATCTTGTGCGGGTACATTCCCTGCCTCCTCAAAAACGAACAATAAGGAAGAACCATGAACGAAATAAAAATGAGCGGTTAAAAGTCTCACAGAAGAAAACAAAGCCAAAGGCTGAAGGTTAAAAGATTGAGTCACGCAAGAAGCACGTGAGGAGCCCATCAAATGAACAACTGACAGATGAGCAAATTTGCGGCTAATAAATGTGACTCAGAAACTACATTCTCAGACACAAAAGTATACAAAGGCGAGAGACTGACGGGAAATCGATCGATCCTTGACGTACAAACGCATTACAAAGCGACGGAGACCTTCCTATACATGAATTGTTATTCGCGTCATTCACCAGTCGTGAAAAATTCTGGGATCTTTGAAAATTCATGAAAACAATTACTAAATTAGACGCGACTTTAAATTTTCCGACTTTGTTATAGGTAAGAAAAGGAGATTTATACTGTGGAAACAAATTTGGTGTTTGGTCGCCCTTTATGTTATTTACGGAAAACATCTCTCGAAAAATGATAATCACTGTCCTAGAATCCCTCGTATACAATTTGATTAGGAAACCATTTTGTCGACGAAACGAAAATATGAACTCTAAATAGGCTGCATTCAGTCTTTCTTATCTCTAGCATTTGTGCCTGAACAGCCTTGATCTGAAGACGTCATAAAAATGCAAATGCCAAGTTTTGTGAGAGCAAATGTCGGTTTTACTCGCATCTTAAGCTGAATCGGCGTCAAAGTACATTCATAACCATATCTACCTTAACACAAAAATGGAAAAGAGATGATATTTTTTAAGTTTCACTTTAAGTCCACGACAAGCAAGTTTGTTCGAGCCTACTGGCTATGCATAATTAATAAGGGGTAAATTCATGGTTACTAAACAAATAAAGAGGCCTTGACTGTGCTCTTGAGGAGTTCTGTTGTGAAGCGCGCAAGAAGCGGCCAGAGCACGAAAGAAGTGTGGGGAAAAACATGAGATGTAGTTGTACAGAAAAGAGCACTGTCAAGGTTCTATATTTGCTCTATTTTAAATTAAAACAAAGGCGGGAGTTCTGTGTCTCTGCTCCACAACTTTCATGAAAGCTCTTCGATACCTTTCTATGTTCTAATAAGATTCTAACTGCGCTTAATTTCGACCGATATTGCAACCCGCCTTTTGCTTTCGTCTTTCGTTTGGTTTGGTTTTTTTTTTTTTTTCGTTGATGTTTTTTTTATTTCATTTCTTACAACGATGATTTGTCTATGGTGTGAAACGTAAAGCCAAGAATTGTTTCTTACTCTCTCCAGACTTAAACTGTGACTTATTAAACTACAATTATTTGTGTATATCTACCTGCGTATCAACCTTCTGAGATATATGCAGGAAGTGAGCGGTTTGCACACACAATAAACATGATACTTTGAAAACGAAAGCACATCATAAAAATCTGTTAGCTGACTTACCCATATGTGTAGAGATTTGACGGGTTTATAACAGTTTGCGTCGTTCCCTTGAAGCATGTAACCAAGCATGTGACAAAAAATATCTTGGGAAACATAGTGGCACAGTAAATTTTGTAGCATTCCCTGACGGGATTATCAACGAACCCAAACCGACTGTGCAAACAGTTCGTAACTATGGCTGTCCCGCGGTTTTAAACTGGGACGAGTGTTCAGAAACTTGAAATCGAGGCATTTTAGAACATCTTGGCGTCCTTTTCTTCGAGTGATCTTGCAGATGTTGTTCTTTTTGAAAGCGATATTCCAGGAGCTTCTTTAAAAGATAGAATTCCTTCTACACTTGTAAAAATCGAAGAACTGAAGGTTTGGGAGGTGTTATTCTGTGAAAACTTTTAAAAATGTTAAAAAATGTTTGCAAAATCCACAATCGTGAAGGAGTACATTTTCGAAGGGAAGGACTCCCATATTGTGGATCCAAATCCAGACAAGGTAGAGAGACACGAAGAGAATGCTTGCTAAACAACAAGCAGCTGGCCAAAGTGCCTCAAGGAATTCATGCGAGGTCGCCTTCAAGTTCAGCCTCTGCTGAACCACTAGCAAGGTCTGTCATATATACAGAAATGGCTGCGGCACTTCATTGAGAAAATTATGTCTGTTTACCAGAGCAGAGCTTAGCGAACATTTACTGAAACATTTCGTGGCGACGAGAAAATTAAAACTGTTTCTCAGTGTTCCCTTAATCAAGCCATGTACGAGCGGGAGAACAGTGTATTGTAATAAGCTATGTCTTATGTATGTCAGTAGACCTTGCTGCATTTTGATTTATTCATTTCCAGTTTTTGAGAGTATTTTCAGTTTTTAGTGGCAGTTTGCACAAACACATGTAGTGACTCGCAGGGGACATTTGTACAAAACTAGGGAGGAAAGGGCGATTGTCTTGAGTGAATTTCAGATACCAAAAAATTACTAAATTCTTAGACCCTTTTTTCTTTTGTTAATGTCAACGAAGGCTCCGAGAAAAAGCTCAAATGGTGAGCGAATTGTGTGAGAAAACATAAACTGTGAGTACTTGGTGTAATCTACGGTCAAAACCAATGTCACCTCCAGTCAATCAGAGCACCCTCCCTAGGGGTTTAGAAGAGATAACACATAGTGAACCAAAATGAACCTCTCCCTAGTGTGAACATCAAAGGTTTGTCTTGTTGGAGGTCGAACGTATCTCGCCCAACTTAACGTAGGGCAACAATTCATGTATGCTTTCTGACTTTAAAGCATTTTCCCTTGATGCAAGGGGAAAGATTATTTCTCAGTACTATTGGTAAATTTCTCCAACCCCGAAATTTACTCTGAGCTTAGACTGTTAGCCCCTGGATTGCGTCAAATTATCAGCCCTTAAATCTCCGAATAGAGCTCCGCTTATCATAAGCTGTTTTCAAATGGACACAAGCGGAAATAGAAATGAGATTTTACACACAAGATGTAAGTGGAACTTTATATAAATATGTTCAAACAATTCTAAAATCCACTGACTACTCAATGTAGATCACTGAATTACTGCATAATTTTTTTCTTAAATTATTCTTAGGCAATTGATAAATTCTCTTCTAATGTACATGTTAGAGATGAAAGCATTCATCTTTATCATTCATATCATTCAACTTTATTTCTGTAATACCCGGAAAAATCTCAGCAAAAAAGCTGACCTTGACTAGTTTGGATGATGCAGAATTAATCATTTAGAGGGAGGTATAATTTCCAGCTGAATATATTGTTGAACGTATACACATGAACAAAGCATCAAAAAAGGTATTGGATGGGGTGGGGGGATCAGAGGGGCGGGGGCGGGGTCTTACTACGAAATTCGTCGTTTTTGAGAGAAAGAGGGGGGAGATTTTCTTACGCCTGTAATCATTACCTTATTCCATTTCGTTGACAAAGCAAAAAGGTTAAAGTTGCCCTGACGAAAACGAACCGAAACACATGAAATCAAGGTCAAAAGGGAAAAGAACGCCAAACATTAAACCATCGCTGCCTTACTAAAAGCCTGAGTTTGTTAAAGTAAAAGTGGTTTTCTCCTTTGAGGAGCTATGCAAAGTTTCTTATATCGGCTCATCGGCATCCTTGGTTTTGAAGTCCCCTTTGTCGTCGTAGTCTTCAGGACCATCTCCAGGACCATCTTCTGGCCCCTCTGCGAATGAATATTCGTTATCCTCTGTGCGTTTTCCCTTTCGCTTTACGTTTGGGTTACCCAGGTAGGCTGGATTCTCAAACTGTGCCGTTCTTGCCGGTAAATAATTCCTTCTTACTCTCCGCCTCTTACGGATGAAGAATACCAAAAGTATGGCACCTAACACTGATTAAAATACAGCAAGTGTCAGAATCAAAACAAAAGAAAAATAAGTTGATCGTGCATCGAGGTTCACCAAAAAAACAAGTACAAGTTTCGGTTCTTCTGAGCTTTGGATGTTTGCGTTTTCTTTTATGCAGAAGGGTCAAATGATTTACGAAACTCAAGGTGCGCTTGCTATCAGGTGAAGAAAGTGTAGGGCGTGTTACTCATTAATTATCCAGATATCAGTTGAGATAGTATGAGAAACGTTTATATGATTGTACACGGCCTACCTAGCACTGCAGCGAGTGGTGTACCAATGGTGACGGGAAGTTTCCAAAAAAACTCTTCAGCATTTTCCTGTTCTTTGGCCTCTTCTGGAGTCTTAGTTGTAAGTTGTTTATTGGTGCTTTTCTGACAAGAAAAATGAAAGACATTGGAAGAGGAGCCCATTGGCTATAACCAGTGGCGCGATAAACAACTACAAAGAACTTGTTACACGCATGCAGCAACAAAATTAGCCTCTCCTTGTCAGCCAGCTCACCTTACACTATCGTAAAGTTTTAGCATCTCAGCTTTTAACTGAGAGCATCGTAAAAAACTTGTTTACCATTTTCTTGTCTTGTTGCGGGTCCAATTTATTCATCGAGAAAGTCTACCTACCTTCGCTTCATCACATCGCGATGTTGCCAATGGTGTAGAAATGGTTATCTTGTCTTTAGTAACGGATTTTTGAATGTCTGTCATGTTCAAAGTAAAAAATATATACTCAGTTCACAATTGTGTCAACGTTGAAATTTTCAATGATTTGACCGACAAAGTAGAGTTGCATTAGAGTCTGGAGACTAGACGTTAGTGTTAGAGCAGAAAGAAATAGGTTACCTTCGCACTGCGATTCACCGACATCTCCTGGTGAGGCTGTGATGAAACCTTGTCCACAGGGAAGGCAATCCATCTGACCAGAATAGGGCTGGTAAAAACCAAGCGGACAAAGAGCGCATGTCGGGTTCACAGAGCTGTGAGAGCCAGCAGGACATACAGTTGGCTGCACAAGGAACGATTAAACAATTCTCTACGACAAGTTCTATGATAATTACAATTTTCACAGTTCACTGAGGACTCGGAACAGTTAGCAAAACGAAGAGGAAAAAATTACCTAAGTTCCTGCATAACTGGGAAAACAATCCCCCCCTTCCTTCTATACTTAGACGCCGTATTTCGGCTGAGTAAGAGAAAATCAACAACAATTTTCCTCCTCAATACACTTTTAAAATGCCATACCTAACGGAGAACATAGCACAAATGAGCACTTCTGAACGTCATGATGGAGATGATACCTATACAGTTGTGGCCATGCTTGGTGTATCCAATATTGCAGCTACACTGATATGAGCCGGGAACATTCACACAATGTTGGTCACATCCAACATTATATGTAGCACATTCATCTTTGTCTATGTATGAAAACACACGACATATGTTTCTCATATACGCAAAGGAGAAAATATCAGTTCAAGGATCTAGGAAAATGCAATCATGCGTCGTAAATTTGTTCACGTGTACTCCTGAACGGTGTCTATTTGCTTGTATGTTTCAGCGAAATATTCAAGGAGCGCTAAAGTTATCACCTGAGTGTGAACTATCCTTAGATAAATAAGGGGAGCGGGGACGTTTCTATAGAAAATTTAGTGCTGCATTGGTTTTATAAACTGAGTTGATAATGTAATTGGCCACCGTAAAGAGTTTCTAAAGCTCTATCGATAAATTGACTACGGAGAAGCCCTACATGGGGTCTCAGTCTCCGTCTTAGAACTAATGAAAACTAGTTAGAGTACATTGTGGTTTATCATAACGATATGATTCCGGGATGAAGATGCAAGAGATGACGAGGGAGACGTTGATGATAACAACACATGGACGCTATGTAAATACAGTGTACCTTCGCTACAGTTAGACCCAGTCCATCTCGGAGAACATTGGCACGTATTGGGTGCGACACAGGACTCGTGATTGTAATCACAACCTTGGGAGCAGATCGCTAAAAAGATATAAGAAGAAGGTTTGATTAAAAAATTGTGATGCGACACTATCGCGAACTAGTTTGTAAGTCCATTAGGCGAATAAGGAAAGTCTGTGATGTAATGTACCTTTCGTGCATTCTCGTGAGCTTGAAGGACTTTTCTTCCATCCACTGCAGCAGTAAATTATTTTGACATTGACATTTCTGGTCCTTTGGACAAAGTAGTACACTGTTCTTGGTCTAAAAGTTAATCACATATCCAGTAAATTTCAAGAATTATCCAGGTTATAGTGAAATAGGTTGGATAATTCTATTTGTATAATAAACGAAATTAGATCCTAAGTAGAACTGAGTAATACGTGAACAAATGGCTCTAAGAAACTACATTAGGAAACCTCAATGCTTTCTGCCCCAAGCCAAAAAAAAGTTCAATGAAATCGACATGTTCTGGTTTTTATCTGATTCTCTGTCCCAATATTTCTTGGTTTTAAAATTTTGGTGAGATTCGGAATATTACTTTTAAAAGAACTGGGTAAGAAAATAGCGATAAGTGTGAAGCCACGCAAATAATACATTCTCGTAAGAAATCGACAACGGATACAATAATAAAAAAAAAATTATCAGCCTTACCTTCAGGTATTGGAGGTAATGAAGAAGAACAAAGGGAGTACATTTTAAAGCTTGAAGCGAAAGCGAAAGTGGATTTTAAAATGGAAATATTGGGAACGTAAGGATCTTTCAAGCTCAGTTGCCATTACAAAAAAAAATTCTTTCCAAACATCAAGATGTTGAAAAGTTTTCGGATAATTTCACCAAAACGGCCTAAAGCTCGCAATATGCTCTTTCGGCACAAACACTCTTTGCCCTCCACCATAGACAGCCATTCTTAAGTACAAGGCCTTGAATAATTTTTACACACATGTATTGGAAGCCAAGTTTTTCATAATCTTCAAGCTACTTTCACGCTGCAAGAAGTTTCCTCAAAATAGTTTCCCTAAAGCTTTTGAACGTTATGCCAATTACAAAAGAAGTACACCGCTTTCATTTTCCGGTTTCGACGAATTCCGAAAGTCTTGAAGTTTTTTTTTTTTCATTGCTGTTGTAATTAATTGTCAGTACCGCGATTCAAAAGCTGTTTATTCTTCAACGTGTATTCCATAATATTATGCTCCGTTTGTTTGCTCATTGTCAAGGTTTGATTTGACTGTTAAGTTTTTTTCGGCGGAATACATTTCTCGGAAAATGATATTCTTTTTCTGAGAATCCCTCCTATACAATCTGATGAGCGAGCCGTTTTGTCGACGAAACCAAAAGAAGTGTTCCGAATAAGCTGCATTCAATCCTTCTTATCTATGAAAATTGTAGTCGAACCAGAACAGCCTCGACCTGGCAACGTTGTGAAGATACAGATGCCGACAATTTTTGTGATTGCAAATGCCGGTTTAAATCGCATCTTTGACAGAATCCGCTATATGACACTTTCATAATCATAACTGCTTCTTATCCTTATTCCATACTCCATTCCACATTCTCTACAACTCTGTACGTCTATCAATCTGCCCATGTCACCCTTCTGAGATTCCAAAATTTATTTGCAATAAGGAAGTGCTGAAGAAACGTATTGGTTTGCAGACACAATTAATAAACATAGCACGAAAGCTCCAGGCAAACACCACGAACATCATAAAACAGAGTCTGTTAACTTACCCAAATTCGTTGAGATTTGATGGGTTTTTAACAGTTCACCTCCTTCTCTTGAATCATGTAAATATCAAAGTATGCGAGAAAAAATAACTTGGGAAACATAGTGGCGCAGTGCATTTTGTAGCCCTCACTATTTGGCTTATAAATGAACCCGCAACCACTGTGGAAATTAATAAATGCGAGTTAAAAAGGCAGTGAGGCGCAACCGAAAGCATGCGGAATGTAAAGAGAAAATTTTAAAACTTTACTTTTCGAAATAGCGGGCTTGTCCTCCTGCTCGAATTCTATCCTGCAAACTATTCGTTAAAATAGCTATAAAGATTTCCTAAACCTCAGCATTTTGCACGTTCG